TCTAAGAGTTTTAGGCCATGGCCAGCTTAGTGTGTCACTGATATAATGCGGTTGTTTTCAGTCCAACAAATCAGAGCCCAGGCTCCGTATGTTATTAGAAAACATTTAGATTAGATAAGATTAAGTATTTATTTCAGAGCTGCACACACATTCACATCAACATAATATACACACAATACACAAAACAATACAAACGATATACACTACACTCATTCACTCAGACAAGAGAAGACACAAGCCCAAACACTCTCCGACCCCACACCTCTCTCCCATCACTCACTTTCTGCCATGTACTTTTTCGGTGCATCATTTGAACATTTAACTTGTAAGAAACGGCCTTTTGAGTCACGAATTCACTTTCACTTCTCGGTCGGAAAAAGCTGATACCAAGATTTGACTTTTTTTTTGTATTCTTTAGGGCAAAAATATGTTTTAATTTACACATGATGAAGACTTTAAAGAAACTCTTACATAAGTCTCTCCATGGCCTGAAAGTACATCTGTGACATGTTAGTGCTATATGAACCAACTGGGACTCTGAGGAACACAGGGACTGGCCTCCTGCTGGGACTCTGAGGAGCACAGGGACTGGCCTCCTGCTGGGACTCTGAGGAGCACAGGGACTGGCCTCCTGCTGGGACTCTGAGGAACACAGGGACTGGCCTCTTGCTGGGACTCTGAGGAGCACAGGGACTGGCCTCTTGCTGGGACTCTGAGGAGCACAGGGACTGGCCTCCTGCTGGGACTGAGAGGAGCACAGGGACTGGCCTCCTGCTGGGACTCTGAGGAGCACAGGGACTGGCCTCCTGCTGGGACTCTGAGGAGCACAGGGACTGGCCTCCTGCTGGGACTCTGAGGAGCACAGGGACTGGCCTCCTGCTGGGACTCTGAGGAGCACAGGGACTAGCCTCCTGCTGGGACTCTGAGGAGCACAGGGACTGGCCTCCTGCTGGGACTCTGAGGAGCACAGGGACTGGCCTCCTGCTGGGACTCTGAGGAGCACAGGGACTGGACTCCTGCTGGGACTCTGAGGAGCACAGGGACTGGCCTCCTGCTAAGTCAGAATGAAATATGGGGATTTTAGCAGCATTTCAGATTAATGCAGCTAAAATCTGGAACAGTCTTCCTGAAAATGGGAGACAGGCTTCTTCTCTGACAATGTTCGAATCCAGCTTAAAACAAATCTATCTCGCTGCAGACAACTGAAGGATTTTCTTTACGCTTTGATTATTTATGATTTCTGTCAATGCCTTGTGTGACTGTTTCCATCTTGTTTTGTGAACCCTTGCGTATGAACTGTCCTACACAAATAAACTTGCCTTGCCTAATGCTCAAACGGCATTTCAGTGACAGAACCTCATCACCGTTAAGCTCCATTATGTAAGCCTTACCGCACTAGCATTAGCATTAGCAGTGTGTGTTTATGAAAGGCAGAGTTAGCGATCGCGTAGGCCTATGCTCCAGGTTGCTGCCACATCACACTGTGCTAAACTTTGAACTGTCAGCATCCTGCCACTCAGGCCTCTCCGCGCACCTTCAAGAGTCTGTCTGAAAGCATAACACAATCACGTCCCCATGTTGTTGCCCCTTTATACTGTCAAGCACTGCAGCGTGGATGTGCACTTCACTTGGAGCCATGAATAAGTGAGGGGCCATTAATATGTCTCTTTGATTAAACTCCATGCAGCTAATGTGAGGAAGAGCGATTGGATGGGCCCGGGGTCTGATGTCCGATTTGTACTGCAACAAAGCTAGCGCTAACTCCACATGCTGAAAAAGCTCACACACGAGTCAGAATGAGAGGTTTTTCACAAGAACATGAAATTCTGTCAGTAGTTTGGGCTCGTACTAACCCAATATGTGCGATCAAAATAGATGAAGGGTGTCATTTCTTCCAAACATGGTCGTTGAATTTTCTATATGTTTGGATTGATGTGTTGTCTTAGAGCAAGAACCGAAGCAGTAAAATGGTTGGATTGACCTTTAGTGCGTCATGTATAAATGTAGTGTAGATACAGACAAAAGAGAACCTTCAAACTTCTTCCACAGTGTTCCATTCTAGCTAGTTTTTTAAAGACTTTTTTGGGACAAGAACATTTCTAATTCAAGTTGTCGTTCCATATAGATATCAAACTTCAAATGGAAAAAAGTCAACAACAAAAGAGGGTGTCACTAAGACACTATGAGCATCAAAAACACATCTGTCATGTGATCAAAGGAAAAAGGAACCCAAAATGAATAAATAATAAAGTGTAATTTAATCAAATCAATCCAAGGTAACAACATTCCAGAACTGAAAACAAGAAAAACAAGGCAGCACGGTGGCTGAGTGGATAGCACTCTCGCCTCTCAGCAAGAAGGTCCTGGGTTCAAATCCCGGTCGGACCAGGGCCTTTCTGAGTGGAGTTTGCATGTTCTCCCCGTGTCTGCGTAGGTTTCCTCCGGGTACTCCGGTTTCCCCTCCACTAAAAATATGTCTAATAGGTCTGACATGCGCCTCCTGTTCGGCGACCCCGCTCCCATCTCTGTGTGGAGTGAGAGACAAATGCCCAAAAATAACAATTGTAAACCGCTTTGTGACTCTGGTCTGTGAAAGGCGGTATATAAATAAAGATTACTTACTTACTTACTCAAGACTACACAAACATTATGGAAAACCATCAACAGGCCAGACACCATCAACAGGACAGACAGGAAGCAAAGTCAAAACTACAAGAGGACAAATGTGTCGCAAAATACACTCATAAAGAATCCAAAAGTCCACACATGACATTATCTTGGCATACAGTACATACATGTGTCAAATGTTGAAGAACCGGTACCATCACATGAACAAACCAGGACGAGGGCAACACCATCAACAGAACATGCGGTGATAAAGCAGTACAAGTGTCTTCATGCGTTTGGTCAAAATATAAGGACCTTCTGAGCCCCTTGGATTAATCCAGGGGTGTCCAGACTGTTTATTATGAGGACCACTTCAGTTAACCAGAGACTAGAGAGAGACCAGAGACCAGAGAGAGAGACCAGAGAGAGAGACCAGAGAGAGAGACCAGAGAGAGTGATCAGAGAGAGAGACCAGAGACCAGAGAGAGACCAGAGAGAGAGACCAGAGAGAGAGACCAGAGAGAGTGACCAGAGAGAGAGACCAGAGACCAGAGAGAGACCAGAGAGAGACCAGAGAGAGACCAGAGAGAGAGACCAGACAGAGACGAGAGAAAGACCAGATAGAAACCAGACAGTGACCAGAGAGAGACTAGAGAGAGAGACCAGAGAGAGAGACCAGAGAGAGAGACCAGAGAGACCAGAGAGTGACCAGAGAGAGAGACCAGAGAGAGAGACCAGAGAGAGTGACCGGAGAGTGACCAGAGAGTGACCAGAGAGAGTGACAGAGAGAGAGACCAGAGTGTGACCAGAGAGTGACCAGAGAGAGAGACCAGAGAGAGAGACCAGAGAGAGACCAGAGTGTGACCAGAGTGTGACCAGAGTGTGACCAGAGAGTGACCGGAGAGAGACCAGAGTGTGACCAAAGGCCAGAGAGAGACAAGAGACCAGAAAGAGACGAGAGAAAGACCAAAGAGAGACCAGACAGTGACCAGAGAGAGACTAGAGACCAGAGAGAGACCAGACAGTGACCAGGGAGAGACTAGAGGCCAGAGAGAGACCAGAGACCAGAGAGAGACTAGAGTCCAGAGAGAAACTAGAGTCCAGAGAGAGAGCAGACAGTGACCAGAGAGATACTAGAGACCAGAGAGAGACTAGAGTCCAGAGAGAGACCAGAGACCAGAGAGAGACTAGAGACCAGAGAGAGACCAGAGACCAGAGAGAGACTAGAGACCAGAGAGAGACCAGAGACCAGAGAGAGACTAGAGACCAGAGAGAGACCAGACAGTGACCAGGGAGAGACTAGAGACCAGAGAGAGACCAGAGAGAGACTAGAGACCAGAGAGAGACTAGAGACCAGAGAGAGACTAGAGTCCAGAGAGAGACTAGAGTCCAGAGAGACAGCAGACAGTGACCAGAGAGAGACTAGAGACCAGAGAGAGACTAGAGTCCAGAGAGAGACTAGAGACCAGAGAGAGGCCAGACAGTGACCAGAGAGAGACTAGAGACCAGAGAGAGACTAGAGTCCAGAGAGAGACTAGAGTCCAGAGAGAGACTAGAGTCCAGAGACCAGAGAGAGACTAGAGACCAGAGAGAGACCAGAGTCCAGAGAGAGACTAGAGTCCAGAGAGAGAGCAGACAGTGACCAGAGAGAGACTAGAGTCCAGAGAGAGACTAGAGTCCAGAGAAAGACCAGAGAGAGACTAGAGACCAGAGAGAGACTAGAGTCCAGAGAGAGACTAGAGTCCAGAGAGAGACCAGAGCCCAGTGATGTGTTTCCTGTAAAGATCACCGTATCCTCTGTCTGAAGAACATCCTTCTCCTTGGCGCTTGGACTGATAAACTTTTGATTTGAAGGGTGTCCTGTCTGCGGACGCCGTCTTCCTCCGCCGCTCCTGATTTGAAATATAGCCTTACATAATGAGGGAGAAAAACAGAGCGGGATTGCACCTCTGAGCCGGTGTCAGCTTCATCAATCACTTTTAACACAGCCGGCCGTGCTTGTTCCACGCACTCCACGCTCGTCGCACCTTACCGCCTCGCCGCCGTGACAGCTACATAATTCATGCGGGCTCCAACGGACGCCTTTTCCTCACAGACAGGTTTAGACGCAGGTCAGTGTGTTGTGCGGATGCTATCGATGAGGTTTTGTGTTGCTTTTATATCGAAGCAACACCAGGTAACGTTGGGAGATGCTGAGTCACCTATAGATTTAAATGTTACTTTTAAAGCAGGGGTCACACACACACACACACACACACACGCACACACACACACAAACACACACACGTTTAGACAGACACACAAAACTAAAAATCTAAAAAGCAGTAAAGAAGAGTAAAAAGTTGAAACTAAGAGTCATATGCTTGAGGAAGAGGTGAGTTTTTAGCTGTTTTTCAAAGGAGTTTAGTGAGTCTGAGTTCCAGAAGTGAGGGGGGAGAGAGTTCCAGAGGTGAGGGGGGAGAGAGTTCCAGAGATGAGGGTGGAGAGAGTTCCAGATATGAGGGTGGAGAGAGTTCCAGATATGAGGGGAGAGAGAGTTCCAGAGATGAGGGAGGAGAGAGTTCCAGAAGTGAGGGGGGAGAGAGTTCCAGAAATGAGGGTGGAGAGAGTTCCAGAGGTGAGGGGAGAGAGAGTTCCAGAAGTGAGGGGGGAGAGAGTTCCAGAGGTGAGGGAGGAGAGAGTTCCAGAGATGAGGGGAGAGAGAGTTCCAGAGATGAGGGAGGAGAGAGTTCCAGAAGTGAGGGGGGAGAGAGTTCCAGAAGTGAGGGAGGAGAGAGTTCCAGAAGTGAGGGGGGAGAGAGTTCCAGAGGTGAGGGGGGAGAGAGTTCCAGAGATGAGGGTGGAGAGAGTTCCAGATATGAGGGGAGAGAGAGTTCCAGAGATGAGGGAGGAGAGAGTTCCAGAGATGAGGGAGGAGAGAGTTCCAGAGATGAGGGAGGAGAGAGTTCCAGAAGTGAGGGGGGAGAGAGTTCCAGAAGTGAGGGAGGAGAGAGTTCCAGAAGTGAGGGGGGAGAGAGTTCCAGAGGTGAGGGGAGAGAGAGTTCCAGAGATGAGGGAGGAGAGAGTTCCAGAAGTGAGGGGGGAGAGAGTTCCAGAAGTGAGGGAGGAGAGAGTTCCAGAAGTGAGGGAGGAGAGAGTTCCAGAGATGAGGGGAGAGAGAGTTCCAGAGATGAGGGAGGAGAGAGTTCCAGAGATGAGGGGAGAGAGAGTTCCAGAGATGAGGGAGGAGAGAGTTCCAGAAGTGAGGGGGGAGAGAGTTCCAGAAGTGAGGGAGGAGAGAGTTCCAGAAGTGAGGGAGGAGAGAGTTCCAGAAGTGAGGGGGGAGAGAGTTCCAGAGGTGAGGGTGGAGAGAGTTCCAGAGGTGAGGGTGGAGAGAGTTCCAGAGGTGAGGGGAGAGAGAGTTCCAGAAGTGAGGGGGGAGAGAGTTCCAGAGGTGAGGGGGGAGAGAGTTCCAGAAGTGAGGGGGGAAGAGTTCCAGAGGTGAGGGGGGAGAGAGTTCCAGAGGTGAGGGGGGAGAGAGTTCCAGAGATGAGGGTGGAGAGAGTTCCAGATATGAGGGGAGAGAGAGTTCCAGAGATGAGGGAGGAGAGAGTTCCAGAGATGAGGGAGGAGAGAGTTCCAGAGATGAGGGAGGAGAGAGTTCCAGAGATGAGGGAGGAGAGAGTTCCAGAAGTGAGGGGGGAGAGAGTTCCAGAAGTGAGGGAGAAGAGAGTTCCAGAAGTGAGGGGGGAGAGAGTTCCAGAGGTGAGGGTGGAGAGAGTTCCAGAGGTGAGGGAGGAGAGAGTTCCAGAGGTGAGGGAGGAGAGAGTTCCAGGGATGAGGGAGGAGAGAGTTCCAGAGGTGAGGGAGGAGAGAGAGTTCCAGAGATGTGGGGAGAGAGAGTTCCAGAGATGAGGGGAGAGAGAGTTCCAGAGATGAGGGGGGAGAGAGTTCCAGAGGTGAGGGGGGAGAGAGTTCCAGAGGTGAGGGTGGAGAGAGTTCCAGAGGTGAGGGAGAGAGAGAGTTCCAGGGGTGAGGGGGGAGAGAGTTCCAGAGGTGAGGGTGGAGAGAGTTCCAGAGATGAGGGGGGAGAGAGTTCCAGAGGTGAGGGTGGAGAGAGTTCCAGAGATGAGGGTGGAGAGAGTTCCAAAGGTGAGGGGAGAGAGAGTTCCAGAGATGAGGGAGGAGAGAGTTCCAGAGATGAGGGAGGAGAGAGTTCCAGAGATGAGGGTGGAGAGAGTTCCAGAGATGAGGGAGGAGAGAGTTCCAGAAGTGAGGGGGGAGAGAGTTCCAGAAGTGAGGGAGGAGAGAGTTCCAGAAGTGAGGGTGGAGAGAGTTCCAGAGGTGAGGGAGGAGAGAGTTCCAGAGGTGAGGGAGGAGAGAGTTCCAGGGATGAGGGAGGAGAGAGTTCCAGAGGTGAGGGGAGAGAGAGTTCCAGAGATGAGGGGAGAGAGAGTTCCAGAGATGAGGGAGAAGAGAGTTCCAGAGGTGAGGGGGGAGAGAGTTCCAGAGGTGAGGGGAGAGAGAGTTCCAGAGGTGAGGGTGGAGAGAGTTCCAAAGGTGGGGGGAGAGAGTTCCAGAGGTGAGGGGGGAGAGAGTTCCAGAGGTGAGGGGGGAGAGAGTTCCAGAGGTGAGGGTGGAGAGAGTTCCAGAGGTGAGGGGAGAGAGAGTTCCAGGGGTGAGGGGGGAGAGAGTTCCAGAGGTGAGGGTGGAGAGAGTTCCAGAGGTGAGGGGGGAGAGAGTTCCAGAGGTGAGGGTGGAGAGAGTTCCAGAGATGAGGGTGGAGAGATTTCCAAAGGTGAGGGGGGAGAGAGTTCCAGAGGTGAGGGGAGAGAGAGTTCCAGAGGTGAGGGTGGAGAGAGTTCCAGAAGTGAGGGAGGAGAGAGTTCCAGAAGTGAGGGGGGAGAGAGTTCCAGAAGTGAGGGGGGAGAGAGTTCCAGAGGTGAGGGTGGAGAGAGTTCCAGAGATGAGGGGAGAGAGAGTTCCAGAGGTGAGGGTGGAGAGAGTTCCAGAGATGAGGGGAGAGAGAGTTCCAGAGATGAGGGGAGAGAGAGTTCCAGAGATGAGGGGAGAGAGAGTTCCAGAGATGAGGGGAGAGAGAGTTCCAGAGATGAGGGAGGAGAGAGTTCCAGAGGTGAGGGAGGAGAGAGTTCCAGAGATGAGGGGAGAGAGAGTTCCAGAGATGAGGGGAGAGAGAGTTCCAGAGATGAGGGGAGAGAGAGTTCCAGAGATGAGGTGGGAGAGAGTTCCAGAGATGAGGGAGGAGAGAGTTCCAGAGATGAGGGGAGAGAGAGTTCCAGAGATGAGGGGAGAGAGAGTTCCAGAGATGAGTGGAGAAAGAGTTCCAGAGATGAGGGAGGAGAGAGTTCCAGAGGTGAGGGGGGAGAGAGTTCCAGAGGTGGGGGTGGAGAGAGTTCCAGAGGTGGGGGTGGAGAGAGTTCCAGAGATGAGGGGAGAGAGAGTTCCAGAGGTGAGGGTGGAGAGAGTTCCAGAGGTGAGGGTGGAGAGAGTTCCAGAGTGGAGAGACTTCCAGAGATGAGGGGAGAGAGAGTTCCAGAGGTGAGGGGGGAGAGAGTTCCAGAGGTGGGGGTGGAGAGAGTTCCAGAGATGAGGGGAGAGAGAGTTCCAGAGGTGAGGGTGGAGAGAGTTCCAGAGGTGAGGGTGGAGAGAGTTCCAGAGATGAGGGGAGAGAGAGTCCCAGAGATGAGGGGAAAGAGAGTTCCAGAGGTGAGGGGGGAGAGAGTTCCAGAGGTGGGGGTGGAGAGAGTTCCAGAGATGAGGGGAGAGAGAGTTCCAGAGGTGAGGGTGGAGAGAGTTCCAGAGGTGAGGGGAGAGAGAGTTCCAGAGTGGAGAGAGTTCCAGAGGTGAGGGAGGAGAGAGTTCCAGAGTTGAGGGAGGAGAGAGTTCCAGAGGTGAGGGTGGAGAGAGTTCCAGAGGTGAGGGAGGAGAGAGTTCCAGAGGTGAGGGGAGAGAGAGTTCCAGAGGTGAGGGAGGAGAGAGTTCCAGAGGTGAGGGAGGAGAGAGTTCCAGAGGTGAGGGGGGAGAGAGTTCCAGAGGTGAGGGTGGAGAGAGTTCCAGAGGTGAGGGGGAGAGAGTTCCAGAGGTGAGGGTGGAGAGAGTTCCAGAGATGAGGGGAGAGAGAGTTCCAGAGATGAGGGGAAAGAGAGTTCCAGAGGTGAGGGGGGAGAGAGTTCCAGAGGTGGGGGTGGAGAGAGTTCCAGAGATGAGGGGAGAGAGAGTTCCAGAGGTGAGGGTGGAGAGAGTTCCAGAGGTGAGGGGAGAGAGAGTTCCAGAGTGGAGAGAGTTCCAGAGGTGAGGGAGGAGAGAGTTCCAGAGGTGAGGGAGGAGAGAGTTCCAGAGGTGAGGGTGGAGAGAGTTCCAGAGGTGAGGGAGGAGAGAGTTCCAGAGGTGAGGGAGGAGAGAGTTCCAGAGGTGAGGGGAGAGAGAGTTCCAGAGGTGAGGGAGGAGAGAGTTCCAGAGGTGAGGGAGGAGAGAGTTCCAGAGGTGAGGGAGGAGAGAGTTCCAGAGGTGAGGGGGGAGAGAGTTCCAGAGGTGAGGGGGGAGAGAGTTCCAGAGAGTGGGAGCAGAGATGGTGAAAGCTCGGTCCCCTGAGTCTGCAGATCGGAGTGAACGGGAGGGACTGTCGGGCTGTAGAAGTTCAGTGAGGTCTGGAGGAGGTCATGGAGGTCATGGAGGTCATGGAGGTCATGGAGGCCCTCGTAGGTGATGAGGAGGATTTAGAAATGGATGCCCTGTTTGATGAGAGCCAGTGGAGTTCATGAAGGACAGGGGTGATGTGTTCTCTGGAGCGGATCCTAGGTGTCAAAGTCAAGGCCCGGGGGCCAGATCCGGCCCGAAAAAGAATTATCTTGGCCCCAGGATGGTATTTGATTAGTATTAGAACGGCCCAAACAGAGCCATAAGAAGATATTATTTATGTGTTTTCTCCTTGAAGGAAGTTTGTTTTTGTCTGTGAGCCAAAATATTAGATTATTCATTCATCATTAAATTAAAACACGGCCCACTCTCAGGTCTTGGTTCCAAAGGTTACATGCATAATTTTAATGGAGCTTAAGCGGAGGTTCAGGATGGTAGACTACCTACGTTATCACACCAGGCTTGACCACGCCTTACTCAGCCTGTCTCAATCAACTCCCCGCAGCCGTGTCAATCAAGCCAGCGTTTAAGAGCAAAGCAGAGCACAGCTCACCAAACGGACTTCAAGCTGCAATGGGTTGCTCTTCGTCACCTTGTTACTCACGCCTCGCACATTGTTCGTCCTGCATGGTCGCGGCTCCTCTTCCACATCACATGTTTGGGGCTGCGCGCCATGGTCGCTGTGTCTCCACCGCGGCTCACCGCGGCTCCTCTCCTGCGGACTCGCTGCCGCTCGTCTCCCCGTGGCCGCTGCTGCTCGCGGCCAGGCGTTACTCCGTGCACCCTGCAGCTTCCATACCGGGCACGGGACTTCTGTCTGCCTGCCGTTGTCTGCCTGCCGCTGTCCACCCGTCTCCCTGCCTCCACTCACGGTACAGTGTCGGTTTCGTTGTTTTCCGCACTACCATGAACGTACTGAACTGCGCCGTGTCAGTTAATCCCGCCGAATTGTCTCGCAGGCTGTGTTTTTACCCGCTGCATTGCTCTTCAGGCTGTTCGTTTTACCATCTGCATTGGCATTTAGACCGTCCGTTTTCACCATGGACCGTACATTTTAACCACTGTGTTGGCCTCCAGGCTGTCAGTTGTAACCATGGACTATAACATTTGTCGTCTGCATTGGCCTTCGCTCTGTCTAAATTGACCGTGGACTGTTTTTTTTTGTTTTGTCCACTGCATTGATCTGATTGGTCGGTGCGCGGCCGAGCCCCTCTGTGCTGTTCATTTGCCCAGTGCTCTGGCCTTACGCCACTTCAACGCCACGCTTCAACGCCACGCTTCAACGCCACGCTTCAACGCCACGCTTCAACGCCACGCTTCAACGCCACGCTTCAACGCCACGCTTCAACGCCACGCTTCAACGCCACGCTTCAACGCCACGCTTCAACGCCACGCTTCGACTCCTCCTCCACGCCGCACGCTTTGACGCCGCACGCTTTGACGCCGCACGCTTTGACGCCGCACGCTTTGACGCCGCACGCTTTGACGCCGCACGCTTTGACTCCTCCTCCACGCCGCACGCTTTGACGCCGCACGCTTTGACGCCGCACGCTTTGACGCCGCACGCTTTGACGCCGCACGCTTTGACGCCGCACGCTTTGACTCCTCCTCCACGCCGCACGCTTTGACGCCGCACGCTTTGACGCCGCACGCTTTGACGCCGCACGCTTTGACGCCGCACGCTTTGACGCCGCACGCTTTGACTCCTCCTCCACGCCGCACGCTTTGACGCCGCACGCTTTGACGCCGCACGCTTTGACGCCGCACGCTTTGACGCCGCACGCTTTGACTCCTCCTCCACGCCGCACGCTTTGACGCCGCACGCTTTGACGCCGCACGCTTTGACGCTGCACGCTTTGACGCTGCACGCTTTGACGCTGCACGCTTTGACTCCTCCTCCACGCCGCACGCTTTGACGCCGCACGCTTCGACTCCTCCTCTACGCCGCACGCTTTGACGCCGCACGCTTTGACGGCGCACGCTTTGACGCCGCACGCTTTGACGCCGCACGCCTCAACGACGCCTCAACAACGCCTCAACGACGGCGCACGCCTCAACGACGGCGCACGCCTCAACGACGGCGCACGCCTCAACGACGCCTCAACGACGCCGCGCGCTTTGACGCCGCGCCCCTTTGACGCCGCGCGCTTTGACGCCGCGCGCCTCAACGACGCCGCACGCCTCAACGACGCCGCACGCCTCAACGACGCCGCACGCCTCAACGACGCCGCACGCCTCAACGACGCCTCAACGACGCCGCGCGCTTCAACGACGCCGCACGCTTCATCGCAGCTCGTCGGCGGCCGCACGCTTCATCGCAGCTTGTCGGCGGCCGCACGCTTCATTGCAGCACGTCGGCGGCCGCACGCTTCATCGCCGGTGGCCGCTGTTTGACGCCACGTCGGTGTTCGCCTCCTGCCGCATTCTCGACGCCACGCTTCGACGCATTCGTGTGCTCTCATCCATTCATCGTGGGACCAGTGTCGACCATGGACTCGCGTTCCCTATTGGGGGGTGAACAATCCAACGCTTGGAGAGTTCTGCTTCACAATGACGGGAAGAGCCGGCATCGACGGATCAGGTCAGTGGTCTGACTGAAGACGTGGTCTGACTGAAGACGTGGTCTGACTGAAGACGTGGTCTGACACTGCCCGTTGGTCCTTTTCACTCGAGTGATAGTGGTTCGAGGTTTCTCTTTTCAGCTTCGCAGGAACGCGATGCCGCAACGCCGCACCAAAGCTCTGCTACAACGCCGCGACGGTGGCCTGCTGCAACGCTGGCCTGCTAAGACTGCATGAGTACTGTTCGGCGTGGCCTTCAAACCTGGCCGACTATCTTCCCCAGGCCGCACTCATTGGCTTGGTGTGCAGCACTGCCCGCCACGGTTTGCGTGCACTCTGAGTGGCTGTAGGCGGTGCTCCTTCTCATGTTCCCCAGGCATATTCTCTCCTGGTCTCCTGGTGCGGCTCCTGCCGCCGGGCCTGTCTCACGCTTCGCCTTACCTGACGCACCCTGGCCCTCATTCTGACCGGGCCCTTGTGCGTTGGTTTTTGGGGGTCCAGAGATCTCCTATCGAACATCAATCTTCCTGGGTAAGTGTGCTTCATGAATCTCATTTTCACCTTCTAGTCTCCCCAAGTGGAATCATGTTTGAATATCAGCGCTCTAAACACCAGCAGTTCATCCTTCATTCAGCATTCTCCTTTCCCTCTCACTGCACACTCTCAGTCTCTGGACATCAGCATCGCGGGTACTGCCGTCACTGCCTCATCTACATCGGCATTAAATACATTCTCTAAAATCCACTTCGAGTCACACTGCTCCACCCTCATAAGAAGATCCTTAAAGGAGTATTGGCAATGGTCCTTGTTCTGTAGTTTAGGTCCGGGACGACTAGCCTGTCTGTCCGTGGAGTGGATCCCTCTCTCAATGTAGGGTCTTCCGAAGGTTTCTCACTTTTTCCCCACGGGGTTTTGTGAGTTTTCCTTGCCATGCAGGAGGGTCTGGACAGTTAGTGTCCAACTAGAAGGCCCGTGGTGATGATCCAGGATACTTTAACATTCTACAACATCTATGGACATTTTATCAACATTCATAGACTATAATTACTCCTTAAACAATCCCTCGACGACCCCCTGGTCTGAACAAATTCAAAACCTCTGCTCCCTGCATGTAACCTCTCTTCCTTTCTCTACATCTGCCACTCCTTCCGGATAGGAGCAGCCACTTGGACTGCTGCCCTGGGACTCCCTCAATCATCTCTCCAGGAGCTCGGTCCCTGGTTCTGTACCACATTCATCCGTTCTGGCAGCCCAGCGCCTCCTCTCATATAAGTACGTATGCATCTCCTGGTGGTGGCAACTCCTCATTTCCAGCATGCCGCGCACTCGAGCCGAGCTCGTGCGCGTGCCAACGCCTAGCGCTAGAGCCTAGCTCGCGCACGGACATTACGCCGCGCACTCGAGCCGAGCTCGTGCGCGTGCCAACGCCTAGCGCTAGAGCCTAGCTCGCGCACGGACATTACGCCGCGCACTCGAGCCGAGCTCGTGCGCGTGCCAACGCCTAGCGCTAGAGCCTAGCTCGCGCACGGACATTACGCCGCGCACTCGAGCCGAGCTCGTGCGCGTGCCAACGCCTAGCGCTAGAGCCGAGCTCGCGCACGGACATTACGCCGCGCACTCGAGCCGAGCTCGTGCGCGTGCCAACGCCTAGCGCTAGAGCCGAGCTCGTGCCCGGACATTATGCCGCGCACTCGAGCCGAGCTCGTGCGCGTGCCAACGCCTAGCGCTAGAGCCGAGCTCGCGCACGGAAACAGTCACTCACACCATGCGCCTTCCATAAACGCAGCAACCAAGTCGTGGCAAACGCATCGCTAGCCAAGCTCTCTTTTTGGGGATCATGATCTGCCCCAGGCGCAGATCTCTTCAGAGCACGGCCACAGCCGGGGCCTAAGCGCCAAACCAATAAACAAACTCAATCCATAAAATAAACAACTCTTAAACGCATCTCGTCTCTTGTAGTCTCTCCAGGTTGAAATGGAGCTTAAGCGGAGGTTCAGGATGGTAGACTACCTACGTTATCACACCAGGCTTGACCACGCCTTACTCAGCCTGTCTTAATCAACTCCCCGCAGCCGTGTCAATCAAGCCAGCGTTTAAGAGCAAAGCAGAGCACAGCTCACCAAACGGACTTCAAGCTGCAACCACCTCCTCCCCACCTCCGCCTCAGGATTTCTTCACTCTCACATTCACCTTGCCTTGTTGCCACCACCAGTGTCTAGGCCCCGGGGGATCATGATCTGCACCCAGGCGCAGATCTCTTCAGAGCACGGCCACAAGCCGGGGCCTAAGCTCCAAACCAATAAACAAACTCAATCCATAAAATAAACAACTCTTAAACGCATCTCGTCTCTTGTAGTCTCATCCAGGTTGAAAGAGCACTTTCAGGTTGAAACTGTTTTAGTCGATCAATTTCACAGTGACATTTGTTTACTGTTTTATTCGTTTTATTTTTGTCTTTTAATGTTGTTTTATGTCTGTATTTGTCTGTGCACACTGGAGACTTTTTGCTAATGTATTCCAATGTGTTTTTTTTTTACTGCAAATGGCAAATAAAACTGAATCTGAATCTGAATCAAACAACCTAATCATATGCTATAATTTAAGAAGAGTGTTTTAAGCCTGGCCTTGAAGAACCACCAGTGTCTAGGCCCCGGGGGACATGATCTGCACCCAGGCGCAGATCACCTTCAGAGCACGGCCACGAGCCGGGCCTAAGCTCCAACCAAATAAACAGAACTCATCATAAAATAAACAACTCTTTAAACCATCTCGTCTCTGGTAGTCTCTCGCAGGTTGAATAAGTTTTAATAAACTATTCAACCAGTCCGGCCCTCGGCTTGTAGAAAATTAGTTTTTTTGGCCCTCTGATGAATTTGACTTTGACATCCCTGGTATAGATAGATAGATAGATAGATAGATAGATAGATAGATAGATAGGTCCAGTAGCAGCAAATACAAAAACAAAAATAGACCAGGGGTGTGCAAACATTTTAGTGATAGGGCCACTTTAGTTCACCAGACATGTCCAGGGGCCGACAACCTGGATTGAAAAACTGTTATGAACTTCAAAATTTGCTTTAATAAAGTTGACGTTGGCTGAATGACAAATATATCTCACCAGCTACATTCCCAACTCAACTTGTGCCACAATCAAAAACAAATGTGAGTAAATACAAAAAAATAGCTTTACAGTAAGATATAAGCTTCATACATATTGGTAGAGCTGAAGTTGGCTGTACGGAATTGTGAACTGGTGTCTATGAGGGCCAGATAACATGACGCTGAGGGCTGCATTTGGCCCGCAGGCCTGAGTTTAGATGTTTAGTATAGAGTCGTGTTCATTTACCATGTGCTGTGTGCTCCTCGTTCCTGCTGCTCTGTACCTGGTGATGCAACACTGAAATTTCCCCACCATAAGAC